GCCAGTCGAATCCGACTCTAGGGTTGCGGTGCTCATCTCCGTTTCAAAGCCGAAGAGCCAGCGCTGTCCGAAGACGTTTCCGTGGTCATGTGGCTGGCATGACTAAACACCAAGGCGCACGGAATGCTGTTACCTTCCCACCAAAGTGGTACCTATTTATCTACTTGCAATTTCTTGCTTTTGAACTGCTAGGTTGGCAGGAGCTGGAACTAGAGACAGGAGCTCACTCTGTCTTGCGGCAGTATTGGTACGGGTACATGTATCCATAAATAGAATGTATTATTTTTACGAAGCCCTTCCCTCCCTTGTCATGGTTGTCCCACAAGAAAAAAATATGCCCCTACAAAACACAAAATCTTGGCTACGGGCCTGGAAACTCCTGGAGATTTGGGGGGGTGGAGCCTGGGGGAGGACAGGGGGACCACCGTGGGGTGCAGTGTTGTACAGCCCACCCTCCAAAGCACCCCTTTTCTCCGGGGGAACTGACCCCTGTAGTCTGGAGATGTGCCATAATTCTGGGGGATCCCCAGGTCTCACCTGGAGGCTGGCATCCCAACTGATAAATTGGAGTACACTGATTGATGATGCTGCAATCCCGCTTTTTGGACAACCGGGGCCTCCCAAAGCAGTTCATCTGAGTCACAGTGAGGCCCCTGAGCCCTTCCCCCGCCCCAAGCTTAAAAAATAAAAAAAAAAGACACAGGCCCACAGAAGGAGGAGAATGGAGGGGAAGGGGTGGGTGAAGGGCAATGCTCCTTTACTGCCGGAGCTCCGCTTCTGTGCGCTCCTGCAGGAAATGACCCCTGCTCCTTCCAAGCAGGGCCAGCCCGAGACAATGCTGCACCCTAGGCAAGGCTGCAGGCTGCAAATACCAACCTTCCGGTGGGGCCTGGAGACCGCCCCACTGGGAGCCCAGCGGCAGGGGGGCCGGGCGCTTGGTCATCGTCGGTGGCGGCAGCTCCAGTGGCAGGTAGGGAGCACTGTCAAGAGGATAACACTAGGAGTAACACTTCAATATTTCAGGCAGACGCTCTGTGGAACAGGAGGCCTTTTCATCCGCACGGCCAGTCAGAAACTCTGCAGGGCAAATGCCCCACCCAGCCCCTCCCACTTTCTAAATGCCCTGGGCGGGCACCACGTTGAGGGGAGCTCTGCTCTAGATTCCTGCAGGAAATGACCCCTGCTCCTTCCAAGCAGGGCCAGCCCGAGACAATGCTGCACCCTAGGCAAGGCTGCAGGCTGCAAATACCAACCTTCCGGTGGGGCCTGGAGACCGCCCCACTGGGAGCCCAGCGGCAGGGGGGCCGGGCGCTTGGTCATCGTCGGTGGCGGCAGCTCCAGTGGCAGGTAGGGAGCACTGTCAAGAGGATAACACTAGGAGTAACACTTCAATATTTCAGGCAGACGCTCTGTGGAACAGGAGGCCTTTTCATCCGCACGGCCAGTCAGAAACTCTGCAGGGCAAATGCCCCACCCAGCCCCTCCCACTTTCTAAATGCCCTGGGCGGGCACCACGTTGAGGGGAGCTCTGCTCTAGATGTCTTGGAGTCTTGTGAGCAAAAATTCTACTTTCTGAGCTACTACCATTCAAGTTGTGAGCCAGCGATTTGGCTGCTGCATAAATCGGTCTGCTCTGGAGCCTTCCTTCCTGAGCGAAGACAAAAAATGTGTGAGCCGGAGGCTAAAAAACTGTGAGCTAGCTCACACTAACTCAGCTTAGAGGGAATACTGGTCTTGACTAATGGCCTGGCTGCTGAGAATTCTCTAAGCAGGGCTGGATTGGCCCTTAACATGCTGGGAGCATTCCTGGTGGGTTCCAACCCCGGGAGTAAGCCGAGCGTACACCGGTTGCCATCGGGCCAGCTCAGGTTGGAGCCCAGCGACTCCAGGGGTGTGCCCCCCCACTCCCCTCAGCTCGCTCCAGGGCTGTCCTAACACCCTGACCTTCCCGTCTCACACCCTGTTATGTATTTGCTTCTGTGTTATGCTATGTAACCTAAACCGGAGCTTCAGGCACAAACTCCATAGACTCTATAGTATTCTAAACCCTGCAGTCGGATTGGTCGTTGTTGCGTAACAGACCAATCTGGAAAAGACTCTGACCTTCGGCGGGAACTAATCCCATTAGTCCTAAGCTCTCAATTGTAATTGGTCCTTACTGTGTTAGGGGGTGTGGCCTCACTGGTTCAAAATGTATATAGTTGCATCCAGGGGTCATTTTATAGAAAAAGAGGTGCAGGAGCTCATTAGCATAACTCATTAGTGATGTCTGGTGATGTCAGGGGGCGTGGCATATGCAAATAAGTTATGCTTCTTGCTCTGACTGAGGGCTGCTGGGAGCAGGGGGTGGGGCTTGTTGCATGTGCCCGCCCCCTGGGCTCTTTACTGCCGGAGCTCCACTCCTGTGTGCTCCTGCAGGAAATGAGCCCTGGTTGCATCGTTCTCTGAGTCTTGTTGCTGTGTTCTGAGCTGAATAAAGAAATCACTTGTTGGAAACGCTGCCTCAGTCTCAGTATATAACACACCCTTTCAAAAGTCACCTGAAGCCATTCCCGCCAGCCCACCTGGCTGGCACCTGTAAGTCCCATCGGGTCATCAGGCTCAGGCCCCTAATCCTAGCGGCAGAAGAGATTTCAGAGGTCGAAGAAGAGAGCTTGGAAACAGCCCTGATGTTTTCAGTCTGGGGCAACAGAAGGCAACTGTTCACTCCCCCGTGGTTGCTTCCTACAGGCAGAACATCCGTCTGTCCGGCTCAGGACAGTCCGCTTTCCCTGGCAGTGAGTCTCTCGGGCCTCTCTCACCTTTGCTACTCAGGTTCTTTTCAAACAGAGATGGTTGAATGTGGGTCTTTTGGCACTCAGGGTGGGTCCTCCTCTCCACCGCTGAGCTACGGCCCACTCGGGAATGGGCCGTAGCTGTTCTTCCTCTTCCCAGGCAGAGTCCCCCCTTGCTGCAAACCGCTTCTGGGGCTGAGGCCTGAAAAAGGAACCCCTTTCAGCCAGCGCTGTGGGGAAACAAGCCAGCGGTTCATGGCGGCTTCTGCCGGACTGTCTCCTTCCTCTTACTCAGGACCTAAAAATAGCCCAGGAAAACTGGATCGAAGCTGGAGGGCTGAAGGGCTCTCTGTCCTCCCCGCTTGATGGAAAAGGCTGCCCCCCCCATGCAAATAGGGACCACATTCCTTGAAAAGCAGCTTGACCTTTTAAAAAACGCTCCTTCCCAGACAGGGCTGCTGAGTTGCAAGTTCTGTGATTCACCCCCAAAGTGTGAATTTCCAGCCTCCCCCCCCCCCCCCCCCGCGGTTTTGCAGGCCTGGTTTTCATTTTCAGATCCTCCCAACTGCTTCCATTCATGCAAATGTCACTCCTGAAGTGGGGCGGGAAGAGACGGGGCTATTCTCTCTCGCCTTTTAAAATATGAGTCTCTGGAGCAGGGGGAAAGCTGCCAGAAAGAGGGGAACTCTGAGTTTTTCATCTCAAAGCATGAACCGAAGTGCTGTAGTGGTTCAGATTATTAGGGCAGGGAGCTGTGGGTTCAAATCCCCCCACTCAGCCACGGAGGGGGATCATGGGCTAGTCATGAGCCTACCTTGTTGCGAGGATAAAAATGGAGAAGGGTGGAACCATGTATGCTCCCTTGAGCTCCCGGCAGGGGCAGAGTAAAAATGTGATAGGCTAGCATGCTGTAAGAGGACTGCCACAAGAAATAAAATTGAAATGAAGGCTGAACCAGTTCCAAAGGAGAGTGTCTACAGTGTCTCTGCATGAGGAGTTTCTATATGGGGTTGTTAATTGTACCATGTCTCTACTTTGGGTGGGATTGGCCAAGCCAGGATAATTATTTGTTGGGTCTCTGCATGCGTCTCTGCTCATGAGATGGGGGTCTTTTAAAGGGTGGGTAACTAACTTATTCCTAGCCTTACAGTAAACCTTTTGGGGAGTGGGGGGGGAATGGCATTTGGGGAAAAGGAATAATCAACTTTGAGAAAATGTACAGGAATAAGTCTCTTTAGCAGGAGGGTGCATTCATATGTATGTTGGTCTGCAGACTGGTGTACATGCTTGATAGCTATGTTGTTTTTCCCCCCAGTTGAACCCAAAGAGATGATAACCAGAAACTACAAGCATGGACAGCTTCAAGAGGGAATTAGATAAGCATATGGAGCAGAAGTCCATCAGTGGCTATTAGCCACAAGGTATAGATAGATAGCTGCGGTGGCTCAAGTGGTTAAGACGCTGAACTGCAGGCTGGAAGGTTGGTAGTTCAGCAGTTGAGTGCCACATGACGGTGAGCCTCCCGTCTCTGGTCCCAGCTCCTGCCAACCTAGCAGTTTGAAAGCAAGAAATTGCAAGTAGATAAATAGGTACTGCTTCGGTGGGAAGGTGGCGTTTAGTCATGCTGGCCACATGACCATGGAAACGTCTTCGGTCAGCGCTGGCTCTTTGGCTTGGAAATAGAGATGAGCACCACAACACGAGTTGGATCGACTGGCTTTCGAGCAAGGGAAATCTTTACCTTTTACCTATAGATAGGAACGCTCAGGTTGGGGCAAGTGATGCTCTGTATTCTTGGTGCTTGGGGGGGGGGGCAAAAGTGGGAGGGCTTCTAGTGTCCTGGCCCCACTGCTGGACCTCCTGATGGCACCTGGTATTTTTGGCCACTGTGTGACAGAGTGTTGGACTGAATAGGCCACTGGCCTGATCCAACATTGGTTCTTAACCAAGTTTGTCATTCTTTTTATCTGTTAAACAACACTTCACTATTTTGCATGCTAATTTAACCTGTATATATACAAGTATGATCTGTAATTATTTCATCATTTGAGGAAGTGCCGCGGTGCACCCTGAATGAAACTGTGTTGGTCTTAAAGGTGCCACTGGACTCTAAATTTGTTGTAATGCTTGCTTGATACAAGGCACTGCCCCTTCGCGTTTGACGCCGGCGTCGAAAGGCCAGTGGGATGACGCAGCCCCAAAGGAGGCTGCCTGCTGCTTCTCTGCATGTGCCGGATCCCACCCACCCCTGCCCAGTCTCAGCTCCAGTTTCACGGCAGGGTGAAGTCTGCGTCCGTCCAGACCGAGAGCGCGGCGGCGGCGTCTCTTCCCCTGCGCCTCGCGGTTGCGCAGCCCTCTCCCCCAAGCGGCGCGGGTCTGGGTCTGGCGGGCGCCCCGGGGGAGGCGGGGCGAGGCGGGGGGAGGCGGGGCGAGGCGGCCGGAGCGCCCGGGCGGAGCCTGGTGGCGGGCAGATCCGCGGCGGGTGGCGGC